TCGATCTATCTATCTATCTATCTATCTATCTATCTATCTATCTATCTATCTATCTATCTATCTATCTATCTATCTATCTATCTATCTATCTATCTATCTATCTATCTATCTATCTATCTATCTATCTATCTATCTTGTTGCCTTTAATAATAGGTAAGTGCCAGTTATTCAGATATACTTGCCATAAAAAGCACAACGCATTTTTCCCATGTGAAAAATACATTTTTATTTAATCCTTAAAAACAGGGCATATATCTGTCATTGACATTTATAGTCTTTAAAAAACACATAAAGCATGCCATATAGCCACTAAAAATACACTTAATTTACAGACTTAAAGTAGAGTTTTTGGTGCAAATGTTTTTATATATACATATATACATGTCTGTGCATCATATGTAATGGTAAATCCATCTAGAATTTGTTTTATAGAAATATGCTGCCATGTTTTAAATCATGTTGATTACCTGCGGCTTGCTGGTACACGTCTGGTTACGTACTTCACCAACAGGTTCATGACACGATTTATTGTACTTCGCTTGTTGCCTGTAGCTTATTTTTCCCAGAATCCCCTCAAGCCTGTATGTCTCTTACCACTCATGCCCCACTGAGCACTAGACCTTATTTCAACATAGAGGCCACACTTGACAATAGACTAGACATGAGTCAAAGTCAAACTCCGTGCATCACTTTGACTTAGACATATATATTTTGTGTAGGTTTAGGCAAAAAAAATAAAAAATACTTGGTGAAGAGTTCTGAACTCAGACTTATAATTAAGAATCTGTATGATTCACAAACAGGTCTGAAAATGCTAAACTAAATTCCGTTTTGTAAACACTATGCAAAATAACAATAAAGTTTGTCTAAGTCTTCTATGAATATGTTGGCACAGAGTCTGTACTTCTGTTTATGTCAGAGCTCAAAGATGAGAGAATATTGGCACATTAGTCAACATTTTTAAATGGAAACGTCAGATGTTTTAATCTTAAAGGAGAATTCCGGTTTTTAACACTTTTAGCCCATTTTCTGTAGTGTCCAGGATGAAATCGAATGATCGACACCAAAATTTTGACAATTGGTCCTGTCTCTGCTTTTTGGCTCATGCAGAATCACCCCCTGGCTGCTTCAGAATGGCTTTCATAGTGCATGTCCGATAATGTCCTTAAAACAACCTTAAACGTTCTTTTTTTAAAATATGCTACTCACCGGGTCGTCAGCGCTGTTCAATGACGTTCCAAAAAACGTTTCGTAAAGAAAAAACGTTCCTGTAGTGTTTTATTTAGCATTTTGTAAATCCCATTGAGTTCTGTTGGAATAGTCAATATTCCCCTGCCACCGGAAACGGAAATGGGGCCTGTTTACACAATTGTAGTCTTTTCGCTTCACTCTGTGTACTCCGACGTCGAGAATCAAGAATCCACCTTTCGTATTCCATTTTCAGAGTTTTTTAAAGTGTTTAACAGAGACGTTAGCACCTCGACGTCGGAGTACACAGAGTGAAGCGAAAAGACTACAACTGTGTAAACAGGCCCCATTTCCGTTTCCGGTGGCAGGGGAATATTGACTATTCCAACAGAACTCAATGGGATTTACAAAATGCTGAATAAAACACTACAGGATCGTTTTTTCTTTACGAAACTTTTTTTGGAACGTCATTGAACAGCGCTGACGACCCGGTGAGTAGCATATTTTAAAAAAAGAACGTTTAAGGTTGTTTTAAGGACATTATCGGACATGCACTATGAACGCCATTCTGAAGCAGCCAGGGGTGGATTCTAAATGAGCCAAAAAGCAGAGACAGGACCAATTGTCAAAATTTTGGTGTCGATCATTCGATTTCATCCTGGACACTACAGAAAATGGGCTAAAAGTGTTAAAAAGTGATGCTTGCTCATCATGGACAGGTTCAAGCATTCTGGGCTTATCCAAGCTGGACTTCCATCTTGCCAGGTCCCTGAGTGAAGGGAGTATCAGCTCACACAGTGTGCTGGATCTCACCAATACAGCTCAAGCACAACTGGTCTCGCCAACTAGCAGTCTATAAACCGAACCAACTTCATCTCTCTCCTCTCCACCACCAGTTTCAGGTCTGGTGGAGGAAACATCCCTGTTCTTACCGCTTATGCAATGTCAAAGCTAAATTCAGCACTAATGTTTCCTGCTGAGGTCTGAGCGCTAAAGACTTAAGTAATTGTGTCAATAAAAATCTTCTAATTGTCTTTTTCTTTCCTTGTGAGTTTTTAAGATTGAAATAGTATCTACTATTATGAGAGTCATGCACAGCTCAGCATCTTTACTATTTCCTATATGTGTCACTGCCAAATCTTGTGTAGAGGTAGCGGCCTTACCTGTCAACACCTCTGCACAAACTCAGGTGTTAACACATAACTATGGATTTATTGACTCCAGCATTCACATTCCAAACTTTATGTCCGTCAGCTAAAGGCAGACCATCATTCAACCTGACATCCACTTCCTTGTCATGACACAACCAACTCATTACGCAGCACTGTCAAACTTATCCCGCTGTTTCCTGTTTTACAGCAAAGCTTACATTTCAATTCTATCTCTTTGCAAACCAGTATCATGATGTTAGAGAAGGAAACATGTTTTGTGGTATAACAAAATATTTATATGGTCATTTATCTATTCTTGAACTACCTTAAAGTGACTTCTTTTATACAATACATTAACAATCTGAAGGGTCATGTGTTAATTCTCAGGAAGTGATAGCTCTTGAGATTATGGTTCACACCTGAGGGCTTCTTAGCCTAGGAGACACATTGGTCACATTGGGAATGCAAGGAAAAACGTTAGCTGTTAGTAGTAAGCACGATTTCTATGGCCTGTGTACATGATCTGTTCTTTAGCAATGTGCAAACTTGCATCTGATTCATAACTAAATTACAAAACAACAAAAATGTCAAGGAATCTGTATTCAATTGTCCCATCTCAATATCTATTAGTTTTTACCCAAAAAAGGTTTATTATTTAGGGATTCCCCAAAAATATGATGGATGGATGGATGGATGGATGGATGGATGGATGGATGGATGGATGGATGGATGGATGGATGGATGGATGGATGGATGGATGGATGGATGGATGGATGGATGGATGGATGGATGGATGGATGGATTTAAAGCCAATTACCTTACTGATTGTAAGCTAACCAAATTGTACAAACAAACCATCGTACAAACAAAAACATACTTTTTTGTGAGGAATAAAAATGTCAGTCAGAGCTTTGAAAAATCTTTTTTAAACTTAAAATTAATGTGGCTCAGCATTACTAAAAGCAGTCAAATAGGAAGCTAACTTAGCCAGTTACTTGTTGTTACGTAAGATGGTAAATTAAAACAACACAATCTTAGAATATGTGGCTTCTTATTGCTACTTTGAACTATGCAAAATTTTTTTTTTTTTTTACGATTAAAATGTTGTTATAACTTGTTTTCAAAGTGAATGAATGTAGTTAGGCTACCCGGTGGACAACATTTTTTACAGTGGTTGGCTCTGTCAACACAACATCACTGCAAAAAATATAAATCTCAATAAGTTATTTTTTCTTAAAATAAGTGTGTTTTTCCTTGATTTGAGGAGATAAGTAAAACACTTTGCCAATGGAACAAGACAATTTCCTTTTAAAATAAGAAAAAACTATTTTATCGTCTTATTTCAAGTAAATATTATCTAACTATCTTATTTTAAGAGTGAAAATACTCATTCCATTGGCAAATCATCTTATTTACCTGCTCAAATTAAGGCTAAATATACTTAATTTAAGCCATTTTTTACTTCTTTCTGGATTGTTTTTGCAGTGATAACAACAAGTCAAGAGCAACTTCTTTTAGAGCAAGAATTAAAATTAGATACAGCAGAATGTAAAACATGAAGCATTCAGATCCATATCTAGGCCCCATAATAATAGCTTAGATTTATTTCTCCAGATAAAACCATGTTGACGCATGTTGGATAGCATTTTGAGAGACAGAATTTTCATCATTAGAAATGTTGCATCTGAAGGTTTCACACCTGTCCTACAGATTTAATTTTTATCTATAGACTGTGTATATCTAAAGAAAGAAAGAAAAACAAACATAAAATTTCACTCAAAAAATTGTTCTTGCTTCATATATTTCTAATAGTTAACATGAAAAAGTAGCTTTTCTATAATATGGGATCAGTCTGAGAAGCTGGTGAGTTCTGAGACAGCTTTTATGAGTTTTAGAGGTAAATTAAATCAGATTTTAAACTTAAATGGATCACAGTGCTTAAGTTTAACAGTTTGAATAGGTTTTAGAAAGCGTAACCCACTGTTAATGTTAAAGGCTGCCGCTCTTGTGTGGCAGATGCACTACTCGCTATCCCCCCTCATCACCTGCTCCCACCCGTGCCAGAGATTCAGAAGGAGTCCTGAGAGCCTGCTGCTGGCTAAATGGTCTGCTTCAGAGCCTCATTACCTAATCACCAGCAACGCCACCCTTAAGATGCACATGATTAGGAGATTAGGACTCTCCTCCTTTCTTTTATGAATGATGACATGCTTTTTTTTTTTTAAACGAAGCTACATTTTTCTGCTGTATTTTCAAACTGCATGGCTGCTTTCACATAATAGTTTGCCTGATTTGCTTCTCTTAAGGCCTGTACTCCAGAACTTAGTTTCTAACATCTTTTATACTTTAAGACTGAAAAAATAAGCATTTCTAAACTGCTGATTATGTTTGTCATGCCTTTTCTGAGTCTCCCACTGGGATGTATATCTGGATGTCTATTTTTCCCACATTCTCTGCGTCAACTAATGATTTTTCTTTTCTTTCTGGGCTGAATCACATCACTTTTTCACATTTGATTCCAGAAAGTCAATGTCATTGATTTTGCTGTTCTGATCTTTTGCTTTGTATTACATGTTATTCACATAAATCAAAGGTATTGTTATTGAGATAAAGGATATTTTTTTTTATTTCTCTGTGTGTGTTTGTGTCCTTTCCCAACAGGGGCTTTTGAGGATGAGGATATCATCCATGTGGAGGGGACTGTGGACCCTGTTCGAGATATGGAGATCATCCATGAGGAGCTGAGGCTGAAGGATGTGGAGATGATCGTCCCCATTATCGACAAGCTGGAGAAGACGGCCATTAGAGGCGGTGACAAGAAACTCAAACCAGAATATGTGAGTCAATGTCCCAGCAGGCCCTTTGCTCCCCCTCACAGCAAGGCACAAATAATAACCCTCCCACACACACGGCCGTGCAGAAAAAAGTATGTTTTTTTTTTTTTTTTTATCTCCCTCCAATAGGTTCTCCCCCTCCCCCTGGCCCATTTTTCCCTCTCTGCGATTGAAAGTGATCAGGGGTCAGGGGTTTTCTGCTGTAGAAATCATTAATAGAGTGTTACTTATTCAGCTGCCGACCCTGGGTCACAGCACTGGGCTAATGAAAGTGTTTCCACACAGCTCTTTTCATCTAAAGTAATACTCAAATCATGGCGCCGCTCTTGCTCGTGCTTATCCTCCTACAGCAGCTTGGGAAATTGTTTAAGGCCATACAGTGGCTGACACATATGCCTATACCAGGTTATGAATACGGTAAATGTTTAGAATAATCCTTGACAGTTTGTCAGAGGTGCAGAGTAAAAAAACAAAACAAAAAAATGCAGGTTAGACCAAGGAAATGTAGATCTGCATCCTGGATGTCAGATAAAGCTAAGCGTGGAATCACATGTGCTCGGATTGTTTTATTGTTGGGAGTAATGAGGCCGGGAGGGCAACCTCAGTGAGGATTTAAAGCTGACCTATCATTGGACCAGGAATGAACAGACTGGTTGGTAAGGAATATATTTGGCTGTTCTCTCACAGTGGTGCTTCCCAATCTTAGATCTGACCACTCATTACACTAACGAGGGGGGCTATTTCACCTGCTGCAGACACCCCTTTAACTGGTTGGTTTTGCTACAGACAACCCAACCCCGCCCCCCACCACCACCTCCCTCCCGCCTTCCTTACCCACAACCACCATCCTTCCTCTTTCAGCCAGCAGCCCTCCCCAACGCCCCACAGACAGGAGCCATTCAGGCTGGGCAGGTGGCCGCTTACTGACATAATTGCTAACAATTTTAGGCAATGAATAAAAATAATCTACATTACTTGTCAAAGGTTGTGCACGCGTCGGCAACTGAGAATCTATAGAAGAACCTCTCTAGACGGGCTGAAGAATGGCGACCATCAAAGAGCTGAAGCAAGCTTTCAGGCAGGAGGGGGATTGTGTGATTGCCTTGCAGGCTGAGTCCAAGGTTTGACGAGCTGGGCGCAGGATCACACCCATGTGTTTATGTTGCTCCACATAAACAGAGCATCAAAACTGTGTAGAAGAAAAAAAAGAGGAAAATAACCTCAGTTTTTAAAATTCTCCCAAGCAATTAAAAAGTAAAGTTGTTTAGTGTCATGAAATTATAAATAACATGATTTGCTTTGTCCCAGTAAATTTAATAATATTGTGTGAATTTAAAAGAATATGCACTCAGCTTCCCTTAATTATAGAACCACCCCTTTACCAAAATGAAAGTTTTTTGTGTTATTTTTTGTTTCTCCTGGCTTTGTTTATCTATAATACAATTTCTTCTTGTTATTATATCTTTCCATCAGTGAGATTGGCTGGAAAGATAGAGAACTGTAATTTTCAGTCTTGACTTAGATTTTCAATTAGATTTAGGTCTGGCTTTGAGGGGGCTCATTTTAAAACATCAATATTCATTGCATGGTAGCTCTGGCAGTATGTTTAGTATCCTCATACTTTCTTAAAATTGACCTTCTACCCCAGTTTCACAGGTTTCCTTGCAGGATTTCCCTGTATTTCATACAAACCCAAATCCCATCTGCTCTGATTATCTTCCCCATCTCTGCTTAGGATCGGTAGACCCACAGTATGAGGCTGTGACCACCATGATAAGATAAGATAAGATAAGATAAGATAAGATAAGATAAGATAAGATAAGATAAGATAAGATAAGATAACATAAGATAACATAAGATAACATAAGATAACATAAGATAAGAAAAGCATTTCCTAATCCTGACCTATCTGAGGGGAGCTGCCTCTTCTACAGGCTTTTTATTTCAGCTCTAAAATCTGCATGACTACTAGCTATTGTGTCAACAGATTATCTGCACACTATAGCTGTGAATCATTGCTTCTGATCTAGAGCAACTATTGGGGCCCACAGCTCCTTAATAACGCTCTCCTTGTCTGGCCTGTCAGTGTAGTTGAATTACCATGTCTTGCTAGGTTTGCAGTCATGTCATATTGTTTTCTTAGTTTGGGATAATAGACTGAAAAATAGGCTGCTCTGTGAGATGTCAAACACTGGATATCCTTATATAACCTAACCCTCCTTTTAACTTTTCATCAACCTTCTCCCTGCCCTGTTGTATGGCCTTCATGGTCTCTTACTGACTTTTACTGACAAATCTCTGAGGCCTTCAAACTGCTGCTTTATATTAAGATTACAAAATGATAAACTGCATTTACCAATACAGACTTTTTATGGCACTTATAAGGGTGTGCAAGCAAAGGGGTTATGTCGTTTCCTTAAAAAATGATATGTTAGTTGGCACTAATTAATCACCTCACATCCAAAAAAGGTTTTGTGGATATAATGTCACAAATGTGATAATATTCAATGGATAAGAATACGCTGAACATAAGAAACACACTCTATTTCACTACTTCTGTCTGTTATTATCGTAGATATAAATGTATTTTTTTAAGATAGTAACTTAAAACAATACAATCTTAGAATATGTGGATTCTTATACAGATTGTTAAAAACCTGGAGAATCTTTTCTGAAGCATTTAGAAATAGGCAAAGTAGGGACTGGTGGAACATTTTAATATTCCCATTGAGGATATAAAAGCATTAAAATCTATGGAAGTTGGATGGGATCATATATTGCTCAAGATACACAAAACTACAATACATTTATAATTTTCAACCCTATCAAGAGCATTTTATGCAAAAACAGAGGGAGAAAACAGCTTAAGGATTTGATTATAAAGCCAGGAAACATGTTTTTAAAGAAAACCTGTGGATGTTTTTTTTTAAGAGATTTCATACATTTAGTTATAGAGTAGTGGAGAAAAATCTAATATTTGCTATTATGATAAAATAATAGATTTTCCTCTGGGATGAGTCAAAGATAAATGCACTTGCATACAGGAACACATAGCTCATATATATGCATTGTTGTAAATCCATTTTTGGCTGCGCTGTGTTTACAAAAACAACTTTCCATCATTTTCAGTCCACATGGATCCTCAAAAATCCCTCTCCTCCGCAAAACAATAATAAGAAACCGGCCCTCCAGCGGCGCTCCATGGTGGCAAGCGTATGTGTTTGACCCCTGTGGGACCTATATGCCTTTTATTAACACCTGCCTGTTAGAGGAGTGCTGCAAGGCGGCTGCGAGCTGATGAGGTAATCCTGGAGCGGGTTCAGCCCGTGTCACCGGCCGTTTGCTGTTTCCATTTCACAGATGATTAATCTCTCTGTGAAGACTTGGGCCGGCGCGGGCGGAGTGTATGCAGCTCTTCCTGCGCTCTCTCCCGCTGGCTGCACTCTGGCTGCCTGACTAAAAGGCCTTTAGAATTCCTGCAGAGAGAGATGTGCAGAGAGTGAATGCAGCTGGCTGGGGGTCAGTGTGTGGAGCTTTTTCTGCCATTGTGTAATTGAGGCTCTGGCAGGATTTTTTTCCTCAGTTCTTTCAAAAGAGAGTATGATTGTGAAGTGCTGCAAGGGTTCGGGGAGGGAAGAAGGAGGCAGGGAGAGTGTTGCAGGGGGTGGGGGAGTTTTTATATGAAGGGGGAGGTCAAGTTGACAGGAACAAAAAGAGTGTGTTCCGCTAATTTCTGCGGGGCTGGATCAACGATAATAGGCTCAATTTCTTTATTACAAATTTTATAACTGCCCCCTCCCATTTTCCCACCCCTTTCCGCTTCCAGATCCTGTCAAGACCCAGTCTCGCCTGTGGTCTCAGCCCACAAGTGCGTCAGTAATGAATGCGGTGTACGTAGCGGTAAATGCTCAATATTTTCAGAAACAGTGAATAATTAGCGCCTCACCTCACAAGTGCTTATTCAGTATGACTGCGCTCTGTAAAGTGCCCGAGGAAGGACCAATAATTTACACCTTTACTAACCAACTCCCAATTAGTTCCTCTGCTCTTTCCAATTTTGTCTTTCCTTTTCATTAAACAGTCCCGGTGGAGCTGAGACACCCCAGAAGGCATTTTGTCAGGCCTTAAAGGAAGGGGTCTTGTTCCTGCCTTCCCCTGTCTAAGCAAGGCCACTCCTGCCTGAATGCGAGCTCAAGCCATTGTTCCCTTTGGCATCAGGATGCCATGCATTTAGGAAATAATTACCCCATACCCTGCTGGGTTTATTCTGTTTCATCTCCTTTAATGGCTTCTTGTTCATTCTGTTTCAACCCCAAACAGGACGTTATGTGCAAAGTAAAGAGCTGGGTTGTGGATGAAAAGAAGCATGTTCGTTACTATCATGACTGGAACGATAAGGAGGTAAGACTTTGATGCAAACGTTCAATTTATTAAAGTGATTTATCTTGAAGATCCTTTTATGTGACCTGAAAGTAAATCTGCTACATTCATGTTCTTATTCTTTTCTGTTAAATCTAACTTTTATACAAGCTAATGACATCTGGCCAGTCTGATCTTGATTTAGTTTTTTTCCTAGCCGCCCCCTGCAGAGCTTATAATTTCATTTGGCTTCATTTGTCCATGTCTGTGCTCCCCTCAAAGACCACTTTTGGAAAGTTTTCGGTTCTCAGAACTCGTCTTTCTTCCCCCCACAGATTGAAGTGTTGAACAAATACTTGTTTTTGACATCCAAACCAATGATCTACCTCGTTAATCTGTCTGAGAAAGACTACATAAGGAGGAAGAACAAATGGTAAGTGCTTAGAAGAAGGGTGTGGGCATACTAGCTGCACTGACTAATCACCACCAAAGAGTTCTTTTTTTTAAATCTTCTTCTTATGTAAGAAATTGCATTCATTTTAACTAACTTTTCACTGATTGTGCGGTCAGCAGTAGAACATGCATGGGTCCCCCCTCTGCGTGCATCCATTTGCAGATGCATGAGGCCGACTGTAGTCTCCTGCTGGTGCAAACGGTCACATCTTTGAAAGAGATTCTGCCGGGAGGTGGCAATGAGTAAAACTCGCAACACAACATCCAGCCCTGCAGACTGTAACCACAGCCCCCAGACTGTGCACTTCATTAAAAGCGCACAAGCATATGGTCCTTGTTTTACATCAAAATTTCTCATTTCCATGCGATATCAAAGCAGGAGGAGGTGCTTCCAGTGACAAAACAAGCATGTGTACATTTAAAGCCAAAACTAGTGATTAATATCATCTGGAGGCGAAGTGATGAATCATAGTGACACAAATTAACAGAAGTTTTTTTTTTTTTTTTGCTCCAAATAGTTGGGTTTGTCTTCACATGTTGTCTCTCTTGCTTTACAAGCATTTTTTTATGCCTATGAAACTCCCACGCCTCAACACAACAACTCAGGCGGCCACGATGAACAGATGAATGCATCCTTTTATTTCTAATAAACTTTTTATTAAACACAGCTATGTACAACTTGCTTTGCAGTAGGGTGGTCATGTTGACAGACTGAGGATAAGATTTCACACCGCAATATAAACTACAAGTCTAGTTTATATAGTTAGAAGAGAGGTGAGAAGAGATTCTCAGCTGGGGGTAGTTTCACACAAATCACACAAATTCTTAGGTTGGTTAAAAGTTGCAAAAAATGTATAAGAACCTTCTGTTACACAGTTTTTTATACATAGATTTTTTTCAGTGAGGAGAAAGAGATGGGTCAAAATAATTATCTCTGCCCTGTAGCATAGTTGTTGCCCTCACCATCGAGCTAGCTGAGCACACGTTCTGACATTTTTTCTTTCCTTTAAGATGAACTAATTTAACTATTTGGAAGTACTTTCAGTCACTATAAACATGGACATTCATGCTGTGGTTATTAAAGGAGCACCATTTATCAGTCTTATACATGTAACTGGTTAAAAATGTCAGTTGGATCACAAATATCTTGACTAATTAACAAGTTACTATAAATGTATTACCCCTCATTATTTTAACCTTTTCAGAATGACAGACATGTTTTAACTTTCTGTGCAATAAGCACTTAAAACTACAACAAGGTTTTGTTGTGGCTTATTCCATATTTTTTTACCATATTATCATATCCTGAAAGTGTCCTATCAGTCCATGTCTTGTTTTATTTTATTCCAAAACAGGATCAGAAATAATGTACTGAGATTTGTAGTCATAATTTCTACAGTTAATTTAAACAATAACAAACTTTTAGTAGTTTAATATAAAGAAAAGCAAACAAATTATATAATGGAGATACAACATTGGACATGATATGGATGTAAAGAAAATAATGCATGGATTTTTACAATAGTGAGCAATAAAATGAATAGTGCACCATTATTAAATTGCTACATTAATGTTAGTCTGAATGTGTCAGTGTGCAACTCAATCGTAGATGTTCAAGCATCTGCATGAAAATGGGTCATTTTAAGTTGTGTAACTTTTAAACATTTTGATTTCATTTATGGATATTCTATTTATTTAGAAATTTTAAAAGTTACAAACCCCTTAAACAAAATGTAAAACCAAAGAGGAAACATCAAAATATCCAAATGTTTGGTATAGGTCTTGTTTAATTGGTGGAGATATTTTGCTTAGATGCTTTTACAGAAAATGTTTGTGAAAACTCACAAAAGTGAATCTGGATCTGGGAGGACTTTTTCTGAATATTGCCAAAACTCATTTGGCACCTTGCAAAACTCTAAGGGGTTATGACAAAATGTAAGTTGGAATGCTACAAAGAATTCAGCACATAGCCAAATATTCATGAAATGTCACAAAAAGAAATTCACAATCTGTTAAAAACTGTGTAGAATATTGTTTATTAATTCTGTTTCTGGCAAAGCTTTGGCAGAAACTATGCAGAAGAAAATTACATTTCTTAGCAGGATTTTGTAAAAGTTGTGAAGCAGGTAGGAAAACTTATAATGATTGTTTAAAGTTATTTGCAATCTTTTAAAACTTCTATCAGATCTCGCAAACTCTACCTGTGACCTATGAAAAACTTTGCAGGACATTGCAGAATTATTTCCAGATCAAGTTAAACTTTTACAGGATCGTTACAAAAGATATATGGAATCAGAATGTTGCAAATACCTTGTTTGATATCACAAGATTTACCTAAAAATCTAAAAAAGCTCTGTGACCTCTAATTCACAGGTTTTGAGATCATGTTAAATTTCTCATGTCTGCATTATCTTCAGTTTGGTGTCTCTAGCCGGGCTTAGTGGAGGTTACCTTTCAAACAAAATCAACAGGTGGATTTGTGCAATTTTACAAACAGAAGTGAACAAGCTTCTTTTGGTGGGAGGCCTGTGCTTCTAGTGGATTTTCTTCCTATATTCTGCAGTTAGATGATTTTCCAAAAACTCTTCAGAACTCTTGTAAAACATTGATACGGAAAATGTATTTGACTCTCCTGTAATGTTGCAGAAGGTAAAAAAAAAGCATCAGGCACTTGTGAATAATTTTTAATCATAATATTTCTTGCAAAACTTTTTTTTTTGTGAACTTGTAAGATTATCTATCCTAAATGTTTAATGCACACTGCTTGGCTAAGTATGGAGGGCTACCTCTCTAAATAACAGCTGTTTTGTCCCCAGTACCAAATCAGTGAATTGTTATCACACTTTTCCATCTTGCCTCCAGCCTTCTGTCAGGTTTTACGAATAAAGAAAAAGAGATTATTTATGGAGCTTTACTTGACGGCATTGTAACTCAAGAGAAGTTGTTTATCTATGACTGTTTGTTAAAATGTTCCTGTCAGAAATGTAAACCTGTCAGAAAGGGGGAGGAGGAAGAGCTCATAAATCAAATGATTCATGACAAGAGGAACATCCGTTGTCAGGGGGAAAATAGTTTTCTTTTTCCTTTTTTTTGTGTTTTTTTTTTTTAAGGTGTGAAGCACCGTAAATATTTGAACGCTTTAAACAGCTAAACAGTAGCACTCCCCAAGGGCTCTGCAATGAACAATGCTGACATCAAAGTGTTGACGTTTGACATGATGAGTCACTTCCCTTGTCCAGAGAGGAGCTCACACCTGTATGGAGATGATTACAGGTAGATCTCGCTGGCCCTAATTGTACAATAAATGCTGCTCTCAGCCCTAATGGCAGCTAGTCTGCTGCAGAGACGCCAGACTGCCATTTGCCTGTCGCCATGCACCCGTGTTTTTCCACCACCGCAGTTGAGATGATGATACGGTTAAGAACTATTCAAAGCAAACAGCAAGACAAACTGCAATCTTATCTTTAATGTGCAGAGGAAGACGGCGGATCGTAGAATTAGGCAAATTTTATCCGTGACTTTTTGGGACGCCCATTCAGGCCATTCCCCAGGTTCACGTCTTTCTTCAAGAGCTGTTTTTATTTGAAGTGCGTCTTTGAGTGCATGCTAACCAGTGAGATTTAGGTCAATATTAGCAACATACCCCAGGAAACATGTTTTGGTTTTTTTTTTTTGCTCATAATGTTGCCTCCATCGACCATTTAGCCATGTTTAATGCATACATTAACGTATTAACAAGTTGCTCCGCTAGAGCCATGTTAGATCATTGCTTTGGAGTATGGGAACCACATACCAAGCTGCCCTTGTTTAGACAAGAATACACAGTATTAGTGTTAGCAAGCCATCATTAATGAAGGGATCAGACGAGGAGCAAGGCCTCCTTTCATCCTCAGGTTCTCTGCTGGAGACAGAACATCATTTACTGTCGAGAGGAGCACATGGCTCGAATCCTATACAGTTCCTGTGCATGAGAATGCGTACATGCCCATGTTTGAAGTCTGTTTCAGAGGCGACTCCACGCTCATTTGGATGCTGGTGTAATTGCGGTGCGGAGATCAAAGGCACGCTGGCCGAGTGATGTTCCAGTGGAGACTTTAGCACACAGCCCTCTCCTCTGTGCAGAGGGGGCCGCCTGCTGCTCGCAGCTCCCCTCTCCCCTCTAGCCATGCGCTGCCCCCTGCACATCCCCGCTCGTAAAAAATGATTAAGGCTGCATTTGTCATGTGTTTATGACTGAGAGGCATTGCGTGATAGGGAAAGGCATCTACAAGAGTCTGTCAAGAGGCCTTCTCCTCTTTCCCCCACTGTCGGTGAGCTGTTCGGAAGACTATTTCCCTACTGCACTTACTGAAGTTTGTTTTGTAAAGAAGGTCATTAGAGCACTGCTGATGATGTGGTAACTGGACTCTGCCCTATCATCTAAGACATTGCTTATTTTAAAACCATGTGGCCATCTTTATCATTCTTTATTTCTTTCGAAATCAAATATTTATTCAGTCGTCCTCTGAGAACAAAGAGCAGTTGTAGTTGGAAGAGAAAAGGACACACTTGAGAATATTCCAGCTATATGCTGTGGTGTTTTTTTTTTTTTCTTGTCATTTCCTTTTCTTTCTGCTTTTATTTTTTTTTTCTTCTTTTGGACAATGTGCATTAAAGTAAATTGGAGCCTCTTAAGTAGATGAGTTGACCTTTAAGGAAACCAGCAAGCGTGACCTGTCTGTGAGTGCCTCTGCCGAGTGGTTTCTCCCTGGTGAGTGGAAGAACTGCAGGGTACCATCGCAAAGGAGCTTTTATTAACTCTGTTAGTCCGGCTCTGTTTTTCTTTTCTCTATTTCTATATGCCAGTCTTTACATGTGTGCGTTTGTGTGTTTCAGATGAAAGTGTGTATTTTCCTTGGTTTACTACTTCTTACTTTTCTTCAGTCTTGTGTGTTAATGTATTTTGTGAAGAGTATTTGCCCCTCAGTCTGTGTTGTGCCA